GGTCCTGACCCGAAACGCCAGCTTTCCTGTTCCTCTAATGCTGCCTGGCCTGCTGTGTTCCTCCAGCTCCACACTTTGTTATCTCTGACTCCAGCATCTGCAGTTCTTGCTATCTCTGGATGAGGAATCTAGCTGCAAAGAGATGGGAAGAGAGAAGGAGGCTGCAAGAGATTGTGTGGATGCAACGAGGCAACAAGGGGATAAGGGAAATGTTCAGCAAGGCAGGAGGAGACGAGGATGGGGGGGAAAAGAGGCAGCTATGGGTGTGGGGGGAAGAAGGAGGCTGCTACCGCTATGGGGGAGAGGTTGAAAGATAGTCTGCAAGAGAGGGAGGTTGGGGAGGAAAGGAAGGCTGCAAATGGCGAGAGAGGGAGTGTCCAATGTGGGCAGTTTGGCGACTTAAAGAGGGAGGCTCCAATTATTTGAGGGAGCAGGAGAAGGAATGGGAGGCTGTGATGGAGGAAGGGGCAGTATTTAACGTGTTAATAAAAGCATACTCCAATAACTGATACAAAGAAAATGTGAAATTACTGTGATAATGTTTTTCTTGAAAATGAAGGTGGCATCTCCTAGCTTATTGCTGCAGATGAGAGAAAACTATATATAGTGTTTGTGTGAGCAGTGTCAATTATTAAACTAAACCTGAGATTAAGATCAGAGATGCAGTGGAAGGAGGTACCAACTGCCTGGTTAAAATCTTCCAGCTTTGTTCGCAAATGATTAGCTGCAGCCTGAACATTCTGTGGAGGGTGTGTTTAGAGTGATAGGTTTATGTGTAGAAGTATCAATAAACATCAGTGTTACTTTGAAAAATACTCCTGTTGCTAACTTGTGCTTGTTACTTTGTGCCAATTTAAATACTGCAATGTGTAAGAAGTTAGTACTTGTGTGTTGTGGATTTAAGTTTAATGGATATTTGATGATTATTTAGGATATTGAGGATTTTTTTAAAATACCACATCTGCATGAGTCCAAATACCCGATATGTCAACACATAGTCATGTTTTAATATCCCATATGTATCACCACCTAAATGAATTGCTGCAAATGAAAATATAGCCCCAAAAATCAAAATGTAGTGCTTGAGAAAATTTATTTTGACCCCTGCTTTGTAAGCTCTACTGTTTAAAACCTTTTTACTTTTCAGTACTTTTCGTCTTTCCTACTCTTAGCAAGGCATGTGTCACTGCCTCCTAACAAGCAGGAATCCCAAAAGCCCAATCATGTTCTACATCTTTACCTCCCTGCCCTTCCCATACTACACACATTTCAAAGGGTCATCTTGTCAACCTCCTACCTGTCACTCCCAGCTCTGATCCTTTGGACTGTAATGGCTTGCCCATTACTGTTTCTCTTTTCATCTCCCTGCAGAATCTATGTTCACTTACCAGAAAGGATCTCACAATCCATGAACTGATCATGGAAGAACACGTTGACATCATGGTCTTGAGAGAGACATGGCTGAGGGGCGAGAACCCTCTTCCCACCTTTCCCCTAATTAAGTTTCACCACTTGGCAATACTTTTTACCATTTACCTTGCTCAGATTGCTGTGGTGGTGTAACCTTATCAGAAAATAATATCTTGGTTTGTCTCCTTACTACACTGGCAACTTCTCTTCCTTTTTTAGGATTTCCACCTTGCTGCACTTCTTATAACCTTTGTTCTGTACCACTCATCCAAGTTTCACACCAAGTTTCTTGATGATGTATGTTCTTTGCTTTTCCCCTTTTTGCCTTTGCAGTCAGTGGTTTCTCATCATTAGTGGTTTCAATCTTCATTTCAAATGTTCTTATTCTCTGCTCAGAGTTTACTGCCTTCCTTTGCTTCCTGAATTTCTCTAAATACTCGTATCCATATTCATGGCCATGATCTTGACCTTGCTACTCCCAGAGTAACTGTTACTGACACTAAATCATTTCCTTTATATCTCTGGTCATTTTCTGCAGTTTCTAAGTGACACCCGCTGCCACATCTTTTACTGCTATCCCCGTTAAAAACCCACATCCTGACTCTCTTCTTCTGACTCTCGTCCTATTCTGTCTCTGTCACACCCTGCCCGTACACACCCTAGATCCCATTTCCACTTCTTTAAGTTTAAGGGATGCAAAGTTTAAAGGTCTGTGGTGGATGATTGGTTTAACCATCCAATTGTTAAATCTTACTGGGGTCATGAAGTGTGAATGGATCTGCTCTGAATGAATGACTAAAATTGCCCACTATTCATAAAAAAAAACCAAAGAACTATGGAAGCTGGAAATCAGAAACTGCTGGAAAAACTCAGCAGGTCTGGCAGTACATGTGGAGAGAAAGCAGAATTAAAGATTCGAGACCAGTGACCAAGAAATGTTCGTTCTACTTTCTCTCCAGAGATGCTGCCAGACCTGCTGAGTTTTTCCAGCAATTTCTGAATTTGTTCCCACTATCCAAACTTAGTTAGAGAATTTGGAAGGATTTGACTCATTTAAATTTAATGTTAATGCAGGAAAAGTTAGAGGATTTAAAACCTACTCTAAATTCTAGGAAGCTATTAAACTGAAACTTCAACACCTCTGGCTCTCAAACCCTTAAGCTGACCCCACCCTGCTAGAACTGACACCTTCAACTACTCCCACCGAAACACCCATGCTGGAACCCACCTGCTGACATCCTGTCCACCCCGTCAAGTCCAGCTGGGTCCAGCACCAATGGAACTGATTTTTATTTTTTTTTTCCAGACAGTTACATGGATGGGATAGGTATGGAGGGAAATGGTCTAAATACAAGTAGATGGGACTAGTTTGATTGTGAAAACTGGGCAGCATAGGCAAGTTGGGCTGAAAGGCTTGTTTCCATGCTGTAGACCTCAATGACTCTGTGGACATATTCCGGACAGGCCAGACTTGGAATTTTGGCTGGAAAAATCCCTTGTAGGTAAATGGTTGGATCACAAGCTGTGTTTTCTGGCTACCTGCTTCATCCTTCTACCTGGTACTTGTCTGAGGCTGAACCAACCTATTCAAACCTTAGTGCCCTGTTTCGCCCCCAGATGAGCTTTCTACTACATATTCCTTATAACTACAATTGCCCAATTCCACTTTTCTAACAATGCTCAACTCCATGTCCTTGCCTTTTCTACAGTTTAAATACCCAATTATGACTTTGTTACTTTTAGACTTGGCTATTCCGATACAATCCTAGTTTGCTTCCTTAATTCTACCCTTTGCAAACTGGAGGCCATTTAAAATTCTGCTTTCTATGACCTAACATGTACCAAGTTCTGTTCAACTATCTTTTTCCTTTGCTTCGTAACTGCATTTATTTCCAGCTAGGCAATGACAACATTTTAAAGTTGTTATCCATGTTTGCAAATTCTCCCAGGGCAGCCTCTCTCTCTATTTCTAACACATGCAAGGCATGCTAGCCTCTATGAACATTTCCAATATTAATCATTCCACATTGCTGCCATACTTCAGCTGCCAAGGCCCTAAGCTCTAAGTTCCTTCCTGAAAAGCCTGTTTACGTCTTTCATACTTTAAGCTGCTCCTTGAAGCATATTTGCTTAACCAAGCCATTAGTCAGTTGGCATCTTTCCTTTATGTGGCTTGGTGTGTCACTTTTTTTTTATAAACATTTGAATAACGTGGGTTAGGGTATTTTATTATGCTAAATGTGCTGTATAAAAATAAGTTGTTGTTTGATTTAGGAATTTGAAAGGAAAATTGGCAGGAGAGTCTAGGACAAAGGGTCAAGAACCTGGTCATTCAGGAGTGAAGTTAGAAAACACTGGAGAAATATGGAAGTTTCTTCCACAAAAAAAAGCTGATTGATTGATTAATAATTTTAAATTTGAGAGTGACAGAGTTTTTAATATTGAGGGATAGCAGACCAAAACTAGTAGGTGGTGTTATGATAAAGATCATTGAGTGGGCAAAGCTTTTCTGCTCCATCGACATATCAACTTTTCATTGAAACCTGCTAACTTTGTAGTTTGCAACATTTTCAAAATGGCTAAGACAGTAGATTATAAAGAAATCCTATCAGTATATTAATAGATGAAGTCACTGACATCATGCTGCCTTTTTAAGCAAACAAAAGAATCGGGACAAGGATAAGGAACCATTTATCATCAAGTTTTAATTCACAGTTGTTAAAGTAAATAATTCAAATATTTATGAGAACTTGATTCTCAACTGGCACTAGTGCCAATAAATATGGATCTAAACAAAAGATGCTGCAATGCTGGAAGGATCAGGCTGATTTTTACCCTTCTGTTCCAAACTTTGAATCACAGCCGCACTACTGTGAGCAGGTTAGTGAGAGGAGTCAAGGACCTTTCAAGGTAGAGAGGGAGCAATTGGTGCAACAATTGTTAGGTTGTTCTTTAACACTTCCTAAAAATTTACCAGAACTGAACAAAAACAGGCATAAGCCATTGTCTGCCATTTGATAGCAATGAACGAGATGTATGGCCAAGGCGAATCTGTACAGAACTAAAAATGGAATATTAAATTAATCTCATGAAAAATATGGTTAGGAGCTTTTAGCAGCAAATCTACTTAATATTTTGTAGGAAGAAGAACTTGTACCACTGTTAAGTAAGTTCTGTAGGTGGGAACACCTTTAGGTTACTTTTATCTCCATGATATGGATTCTCATTGATCAGGGGATTTTTATTTTTAAAATTAACTAGCTTTTCAACATTTTTTTTTCTATTCGAACACCAACATCCTTCACAGACAATTTTATACTTACAATTGTAGTAAAAGTTGCAACAAAGCATAGTTTTGGGGATTTTAAACAAAAAAAAAATTCTGCCTTTTTTTGTCAATATACAGGAAATGATTGATGAAGCAGATCGGGATGGAGATGGGGAGGTCAATGAACAAGAGTTCCTTCGAATCATGAAGAAGACCAGTTTGTATTAATACACTGTCTATCACATATTGCTTGTGTTTCTTTCTTTTGCTCTAATACCTGCTTACTGAATAACAGGACAATGAATAAAGGCAACCATAATCTGATGATGTTAATGGAAGAGAAGATTGAATGACTCTCCATTGCATACAAGAGGAGGAAGCTGGTTACTTCAGTAAATTGTGTTTTACCTTCTTTGAGGTAAATTCCATTATTTACAATTATATTTACAGGACTGGGACATAAAAGTGATCTTAAAAAGATGCATCTTATTTTTATTTGTATGGCTGTAAACATGGTACCTTAATTGTCATTTTGCAGAACCACTTTAATTTCTCCACGACTTCAGTCACTATGAAGAAGTCTGTTTGTGTTGTTCAAACCTGTGATCATGTTTAGTATATTTTAAATTTTCAATGAACTGGTCTAGATTTCTAGTTCTGGAGTTTATTTATACAAGACCTATTTAAAGATATCGAGAGCAGCAGGTTGGAATAAAGACAACTCTTATTAGGTGGGAGCTATGCAAGAATTTTATTGTGCATTTCACAAATCAAGTTGGATAAAATTTATTGAGAAGTCATCAACTCTGTCAAAGAATCTTTCGTGGTTGGTACTCGGGCATGTTCCTGTGATACAATTGAATGGCCAAACAATGAGACTAAAAGGATAACTTTAATCCCCAAAATGGATTTGGGTCAGTTGAGAAGTTGAAGTTTGAAAATTTTCAAACACAATCAATTTATCAAGAATCCACCCAGTTCTAATTTTAGTGGCGGCAGGACATTGCAAGGGAAGAAGCTTTTTAGGTGGTTTGTGCCTTTTTTTAAACTGTTTTTGGGGCCCTGGGAACCTTGGCAGATGCAAGGATATCAGCAGAGCAGATTCATAACGTAAACACACTAACAGCACTTTCTGTACTGCCTGGAGGTGTAGGGCAGTTTACACTGAAGCCAAAAAACTTACCTGCTTTAAGCTCCACGTTATTAATTCACTCCAGTATCTATACACTCTCCACTCAGCTTCAACACCCTTCTACACACGCACACGTGCCCAATAGAAACTAGTACATACAAACCTACTGACCACTACTTCTGCCTCCCTATTCCTAGTGTGGAGTTGACCACCTAGCAACCGCCTAATCCCATCAATTCTGAGAATCCAGAAAATATTGCTTGAAGGGGTTAAAATGGATGGCAGGTGTAGAGGCAGCACGGTGGCTCAGTGGTTAGCACTGCTGCCTCACGGCACCAGGGACCCAGGTTTGATTCCCATCTTGGGCGACTGTCTGTGTGGAGTTTGCACGTTCTCCCTGTGTCTGCCTAGGTTTCCTCCAGGTGCTCTGGTTTCCTCCCACAGTCCAAAGACTTGCAGGCTAGGTGGATTGGCCATGCTAAATTTCTGTGTCCAGGGATGTGTAGATTAGGTGGGTTATAGGGGGATGGATCCGGCTGGGATGCTCTGAAGGTCGGTGTGGACTTGTTGGGCCGAAGGGCCTGTTTCCACATGGTAGGGATTCTAAGATCTCAGATATCCTAAGAAAGGCATTTTTTGCATGCTCCACCATCCACCCTCTCCAGAAATGCCGGACATTAGACTTGGCTATTCAGCTGCCATATGTGTCAATAGGTAGACCTCTGCAACAAATAAGAACTAATCATGTGAATATCAGATTCTGGTTTTGGACAACTGTGGACCTATGTTCCATGTTACAATGTAGAGTTAAGAAACTGTATGGCATTGCTATGCATTTGGTGAATTGGATACCTCCATTCTCTTTGTCATTGTGGACAGTGCACCTGGTGGGGCTGCCAGTACATCACACTGTTGTTACCATGTCAAGCAATCTTGCTTTCATTGCTGGTTCCAGTCTCTATATCTTTGACCTGTGGATGAAAGTTCAGAGGGAACAAGCTCCTCTTAACAGTCTCTGCTATGACCTACTCTAGTTCATTTGTGCCCTGAGAGTTACTAGGTCGTTTGCATTTATATAAGAGGTCTAATTGATGTGCTAGGATCAGCATGAGTAGTCACAATCTGTTTCAGTCCTCTCCTTGGAATTTTCTGCTCTGCTCCTCTGCCAGAAGTTTGTGACCGAAGTGAACGATTCTCAGTAATATGTGCATTCGATGGATATACTGAAGGTGAAAAGCAAGGTATAAGGAGTAGGAATGGCATGCCTTTGAGGAAACTGGCATAATTCATTTCAGGGAGAATGGGTGGAATGAAAAAGATCAGATGGGGTTCTTCGCATTAATAGGGGTGTGCAACTGAAGATGAGAAGGGTTGTGTCAAACTAATTCACTGAACATTGATGGAAGTGATGTAATGAGGAATGCTATGAATGGAGCAGAATTGATGAAAGTTGCAGGGAGTGCGTTGCAGGCTTTGGATAAATATTGCTGCCTGCTGACCTAAGGTTCCATGAAGCAGTGAATCTACAGCTCATCATTGCACTCCAGCTACTGACTTGAGGTGTGACAGGTGACCATCCCTTTCATTGACTTTTACCTTTTTTTTTTTTTTAGAAAGGAATCCTACAAAATTCTGTCTCTTTCAGTGGCACATTGAGCCTTCAAGTACTTGAAATATGTCATACAATTCAGTGTCAATCAACACTGCAGGTACGAAACCTGTTCTTCCTCATTGCTCTTTCTCCCTCCAACTCCAAATGCTTGATTTCCGTTTCTTGGTTGAAATTGGGTCCACAAGTACAGTTTTATCCTAAGCTTCTGTGGATAGTTCCAGTTACAATAATATAATTATGGGAACCCATAATAATTTTGATAACCTTGCTATCATGAAAATTAGTTTCTTTTACCGTTTTTACTTGGGCCATGAATCCCTACAAGTTCTATTCAATCAGGATATATTAACACAGCACCATTTAAAAACAGTCAATGACAATCTCTAAAGACCAAACCTGAGTAAAGCATCGTTAATTCAACTGGAATGCTTTCCAACATCAGAGAAGGGCTTGAAATCGGAGGGTTTGTATGGATGTGAAAACAATTTGGCTATCATGCTGGGAACACAAAGAAATGACTTGCATTTAAAAAGCACTTTACACAACATCACAAAATTCCATAATGTTTTGAAACCAATTAAGTATTTTTGAGGCGTAGTGGCTGTTGGAATTTAGAAATCTAAACCTTTTTAAAGTAAAGTGCATCATTCTAACCAGTCTGGCTTGATGTTATTAATTAATAACAGTCACCTAAACTGTCAATTGTCCAGATTTATCAAATGTATTTTGGGAAATTTTAATTGGAAACATTCAATTTGTATTGAGGTTCATGAAAAGCATCAGTAAATTCCTTATTAATTGATTCATTTCTACATAAGGTTTGAATCCTGTTCTCAACCAATGAGTTTGAATTGTGGAAATTTGTTTTCTTACAAGCTTAGTTTTCATACTTCAAGAGAATCACTACCCAATCCTCAATTAATCTTTTAAGATTCATGAATGACTTTCCTGGTTAGCATGATTATCATGTCTTATTCAATATTCAAATGGAGTAGTTAAGTTAAATGAGTTTTCTATCTCTGGAAATCAGTACCAAAATGTTAGCTGCTGTTTAATCACTGACCCTTTGAAATGAAGTTCCAGTTTGTTGATTTAAATGCAGGTGAAGCTGTGTGATCAAGAAGAATAACAAAAGTGTTATCTGGGCCCTGTTGTGGCACAGTGGTAGTGTCCCTCCCACCGGACCAGGAGGCCAGGGTTCAAGTCTCACCTGTTCTGGAACTGTGTAATAACATCTCTGATCAGGTTGATTAGAAAAATAGGTTAAACTTTTTTTTTTTAGAAAACCAAAAGCATTGTACAACATTGTACTGTTGTTTTGGCGACCACTGCAATCAAACATGCTTTAGAACTGCTTTGCTCCAAGCTAGCTAAGCTTGATATTCAACTCCCACTCCCACACTTATTTTACTTTATGGTAAACATGAATCTAGAAGTTGTGTCTGGTAGAGAATGCCAACTTGTGCACTGTTGTCACAGTTCGGGGAGAGAGATGGAGCATTGTTTGAGGAAACTATTAATCACCGGTCGTCTTATCTTGTTCCACTTGCAGGTTTTTTTTTGTGCAGATTTATATTCCATATACCTACTTAGGTTTTCTGATGGCCTTACCTGTTTTAAAGAACCAAGTGTCTGGTCGAGACCGAGATCTTGAATGTAACATAATGAGTGACATCACCAAAGCAAAATTATTGTGCAATGATACAAAATGTTTTAAAGGGTCATAGTCTGAAGTACATTTCTGCCATTCGATGATGGCAATTCTACAAGAGGCTGAACTATGTTCGAAGCATAAAAACCATAGGAAATTTTCTACTACACCATGATAGCAAATACAGCTTGTCTTAGATGTCATTATGTAATTTGTACATTCCAATTCATTGGACTTTTAAAGATATAGAATCTAGATCTCCAACAGTGCTTTTTATTTTTTCTGAAGGGTCTAGGCCCAAAACTTCAGCTTTCCTGCTCCTTGGCCTGCTGTGTTCATCCAGCTCTACACCTTGTTATCTCAGTGCTTTTTGTTTCCCTTCTCTCCCTACAATATTTTGATGAAAGATTATTATTAAAATTTACAGGCTTTCTGAATTACTGTGACAAAAATATTGTGTAACCTTTATTTAACTTTAAGTAATTTTCATCTTTATATCTTGCATGTTTATGTTTATCTCCTAATAAAAAGACAAGCATTTGCATTCTGCAGCCAAGAGCATTTAATTTGTATGATAGTCATTGGTTTAATTTTAGAGATATCATGAAATTCCTTCAGTGGAGTCTACTACGTTACTTGCTTTATTTCTTCTGTAGATATACTTTGACAGTACAGGGAGTCCCAGAATAAACCTCATTTAACCAAAAATGATGCTTACAGTCATGAGTAATAAGTATTTCAAAGCTAAACAAAAAAAATTACCACACTAATTAATAATCTCTGTACACTTGTCTGATATTTATTTTTAATTAACAAGCATTTACTCTTTGCTATTCTGAGTTCTGAATTATTGTCATGCTAGAAAAGATCTTGGCGTCATAGAGTAATACAGCATAGAAACAGGCCCTTTAACCCAAACTGGTCCATGCTGACCATGGTGCCCACTCAGCTAGTTCCAATTGACCGCTTTTGGTCCATATCACTCTTAAACCCTTCCCATCCATGTACCTATCAACATGTTTTTTAAACGTTGCAATTGTACCTGCCTCAACCGCTTTCTCTGGTAGCTCATTCCATATACACAACACTGAGTGAAGAAGTTGCCCCTCAGGTCATTCTTAAATCTTTTCCCTCTCACCTTAAACCTATGCCCTCTAGTTTTCAATTCCCCATCCCTGGGAAAAAGACTATATGCATTCGACCTATCTATGCCCCTGATGATTTTATATACCTCAATAAGGTCACTCCTCATTCTCCTACGTTCCAAGAAATAAAGTCCTATCCAGGCCGACCTCTCCCTATAACTCTGGCATACTAGTCCTGGCAACATCCTCATAAATCATCTTTGCACACTTTCCAGTTTAACTATGTCTTTCCTGTAACAGGGTGACCAAACTGTACACAATACTACAAGTGCGGCCTCACCAATGACTTATACAACTGTAACATAATGTTCCAACTCCTACATTCAATGCCTTGACTGATGAAGGCCAGCATGCTAAATGCTGTCTTCACCACCCTGTCCACATGTGATGCCACTTTCAACAAACTATGTACTTGTACTCCTAGGTCCCTCTGTTCCACAACACTCCTCAGGACCTTACCATTTACTGTATAAATCCTACCTTGGTTTGACTTTCCAAAAATGCAATACCTCACATATCTATATTGAATTGCATTTGCCAATCCTCAGCCCACTTTCCCATCTGATCAAGATCCCTCTAATTTTTGATAACGTTCTTCGCTATCAACGATACCTCCTAATTTTGTGTCATCTGCAAACTTACTAATCATGCCTTGTACATTCACATCCAGATCATTTATGTAAATAACATATAACAAAGTTCCCAGCATTTTGGACTCAAAACATTAACTTTGTTTCTCTCTCCACAAATGCTGCCAGATTTGCTGAGTTTATCCAGCACTTTGTCTTTATTTTAGGTCTCCAGCAATTTGAGAGAAAAAACTTAAATATTGTTTGCCTCCCTGTTTTCATATTTCAATTCTGAATTAACAATGCCTTCTTGAGTTTCTCATGCCACAGGCTGTAGTTCTCATGGTTATTCTAACATTGTAGAGTCTCCATAACCTCAAAATGTCACCTTTTATATTTTTCAACATTTAGCAGATATGAATTAGCTCCCTTTGCCTTTTTGGTTTCTTCCTGCCTGTTGACTGCAGCAGTTCAAGAAGGCAGCTCACCACCACCTTCTCAAGGGCAACTAGAGGACAGACAATAAATGCTGGCCAACTGACGATGCCCACAATAGTTTCATTCTTTTCAGTCTATTTTCCACCTCATATTTGTCCTCTGGTTTTAGGTGAACATTGTAAAGGTGCAGCTGCATTTGATTTTTTTTTTCATCTTCTAAGCTTTTGCAGCTTGAGGTATCTTATTCACTCCATCACAGTTCAGTTAAATTTTCCTCTGCGAAGCAGTCACCCAGTCTGTTCTTTGTTTCCTCGATGTCGACGTGACCACACTGAGCAGCAAATACAGTAGACTAGATTGAGTGAACTGCAGGTAATGCGCAGCAATGGGCAGGTGTTACAGCTCCTGCAATTGCAGGGAAAAGTACCGTGAGGACTGTGGAAGTGAAGGAGGAGTGGACCAGGGCGTCCCGAGGGAATAGTTCTTGAAGGCTGACAAGGGAGGGGATGGAAATGGGAATGGGAATGGGAATGTGTCTGGTGATGGCATCCCACTGGAGGTGACAGAAGTAGCGGCTAATAATCCTCTGGAAGTGAATGGTAGGGGAGGGCAAGGGGTCCCTATTTTGTTGTGGGAGGGAAGAGAGAGGCTGACAGTTGAAGTTGGCATCGTCAGAACAGATGCTAGAGGTGGAGGAACTAGGAGAATGGAATAGAGTTTTTATGGGTGGAGTTTGTAACCTATGCCCAGAAATAGAAACAGAGATGTTGAGGAAGGGAAGAGAGGACTCTGATGAACCAGGTGAAGGTGAGAGTGAGGTGGAAATATGAAGTGAAATAGCTTTTAAACTTAACTTACTAGCTACTTCTCAGGTAAGTTTTTTTTTAAAATTTAAAACTCCCTAGATGCTCTGTTGCTTTTCCCCTTTATGCCCTCTTCCAGCAATAATTTCTTCCCATGCCAGATGTTAACTAAGGTAACAAGGTGTAGAGCTAGATGAACACAGCAGGCCAAGCAGCATCGGACCAGGAAGGCTGACATTTCGGGCCTAGACCCTTCTTCAGA